CAACTATGATGGCAGCCAGCGTGCTGGCTTTGCCATCTGGACAATGGCAGCCAGCGTGCTGGCTTACCCACTTCAACTATGATGGCAGCCAGCGTGTTCAGTGTGAAGTGTTAAGTCGAGTGAGTTGAGGCAGTGTGTGGGTCTCTGTGTGTGTGTATCTATGTCTGTGTGTGTGTATGAGTCTCTGTCTGTGTGTGTCTATGCCAGTTCTCAGCTCCCAGCTCCACAGATTGCTCCGCGTACTCAAGTTGTACTAGAAAGTTGCCAGTTCTCAGCTTCCAGCTCCCCAGCTACTCCGCGTACTAAAGTTGCACTACAAAGTCGCCAGTTCTCAGTTCTCAGCTTCCAGCTCCACAGATGGCTCCGCGTACTAAAGTTGTACTACCAAGTCACCAGTTCTCAGCTTCCAGCTCCACAGCTACTCCGCGTACTAAAGTTGTACTACAAAGTCGCCAGTTCTCAGCTTCCAGCTCCACAGATTGCTCCGCGTACTAAAGTTGTACTAGAAAGTCGCCAGTTCTCAGCTTCCAGCTCCCCGGCTACTCCGCGTACTAAAGTTGTACTACAAAGTCGCCAGTTCTCAGCTCCCAGCTCCACAGATTTCTCCGCGTACTAAAGTTGTACTAGAAAGTCGCCAGTTCTCAGCTTCCAGCTCCCCAGCTACTCCGCGTACTAAAGTTGTACTACAAAGTCGCCAGTGCTCATCTTCCAGCTCTCCAGATACTCTGCGTACTAAAGTTGTACTACAAAGTCGCCAGTTCTCAGCTCCCAGCTCCACAGATTGCTCCGCGTACTAAAGTTGTACTAGAAAGTCGCCAGTTCTCAGCTTCCAGCTCTCCAGATACTCTGCGTACTAAAGTTGTACTACAAAGTCGCCAGTTCTCAGCTCCACAGATTGCTCCGCGTACTAAAGTTGTACTACAAAGTCGCCAGTTCTCAGCTTCCAGCTCCACAGATTGCTTTCGTGCGCTCGACACGCACGATCTCCGCAGAGGGTTGCGCGCGGACCGCACCAATCGCACTCTCGCCTGCATTTCGCGCACTCGACACGCACGATCTCCGCAGAGGGTTGCGCGCACAGCCGGCACATCGCACTCTCGCCTGCATTTCGCGCACTCGACACGCACGATCTCCG